TAATGATGTGGTTGCATAGAGGAGCGTTGCAGAGAGGGTCGCGACGACAAAGTACAACTTTAAACGAGCAGTCTGAACCAATGTCAGGCCCCAGTTTGATTCAAAGGCACATTGTCTTCTTCATCAGGTGGTAGAGTGCGTCACTTCTGGTTCTTGGCACTTCGAGTACTTGAGGTGAAGGTGAACTCTGAGCGTTTGCTCTTTAGCGCTCATTCCGTTTCGGGAAACTCAAATTTCAGTCTCGATATTCCGCTTCTGCCTGGTTTCCCCTTCCTTCTCTAGAGTCGCGCAAATTTTGTTCGTCGGCTACCTTCCTTAATACTTTCCGACACCGCGTTGCGCCTTTCGACAATCGGCAATAGCAGCGCACATGGACACGGCAAAGCAGGAAGCTGAGCTTCAGGGCCTGCTCGCGGAGGGCCGAGCCCTGCAGAAAACTTTAGCGGTATTGTCTTCCACTTTCCATGCCTTTTTGGTCTTTGACGACTAACCTTTTACTAGATTGCGACGACGGATCACGGCGCGTATGTAGAGAAGTGCATCGCAGCGAGTGAGCGCATTCTTTCCGCCGCAAAGAGTGTGGCTACAGCGTCTGTCTCAACACAGACTGCGTTAGAGGGCGTACAAGAAGCTAGTACAGCCAGCATTGCTACTACTACTACTGCGTCTATTCCAGCCCGTGCCAGCATTGCTAGAGCCCTAGGCGGCCATGCTATTGTTCTGGTTCTCATCGATGGTACAAGCCACCATGTATGTGACAAACCGCTGGCTTTGATCACGATCTGACATCTAAGCAGTTTCTTGATGAACTATACCGCAATAAGATGTCAGGAGGAGCTGAGACAGCGAAGCGTCTTCGTGCTGTCGTGGGCGAGAGGGTTGCAGCCATACTTCCCGCAGTCGCACGAAGCGGGTACCATATCTTCATCAAGATGTTCGCCTGCCTGAAGACTCTCTCGACCCGCGCTGCCGCAGCTAAGTTCGCGTCTCCGGAGCCTAGATCCCTTGGGTTTCACTTCGGCGAGTTCACCAAGGTGTCCTCATTCTTCGATTTCGTAGATACAGGCGATGAGGGCCATGTGCCGACAAAGATTAGTGGTAAGGTTCTTCTGCTGTATGAGATATCTGGTGCTGACATGCCTGATGTAGAAAACCTCAAGTTTTATATGGCCGACCCGAACTGCAAGCATGTTCTCTTTGCCGCTGCGGATTCACCTTTGTACCGCCGAGCACTATATCCCTATCGCGGCCAGGCTAAGAAGGTGACACTTGTGCGTGGCACGAGCAATACTGGCGGGTTAAGTGAGCTGGGGTTTCCTGTAGTGACATTCGGCAATGTGTTCTCTCTACCTTTCATTGGTAGAGTCAACGACGGAGGTACAACGCAGATTGACACTACCATAGAGTCTGCCGTGGCTGGTACTGCTGCAGTGCGTTGAGTTCATCATTATGTCATAGGTTTCTACTGACCCATGTCTCAGAAAGCACGTTCCACGAGCCACACAAGTACTTCCACCAGTCTCATTGATGTCAGCGGAGATCTCGAGACTGTGGGGGCTACGTTATACGAAGGCAAGTTGCCACTCTGCTACATTGACGGCCGCCTACCCGTGAATGCGGCAGAGCAGCGCATCGACATTTATGTGCCAAAGCCACCCGCAGCGGAATTTGATATGTACGACGCGCACTACAAACGGGATAAGCTGTGCAACCAACACCATCTAGGCAATTCTTGCACCATCGCAAAATGTCGGTACTACCACGGCGTGTTGGAACCCGAAGCACACAGGGCGCTGCAGTACAAAGTGATTCGCATCCCATGCGAAAAGGGTGGCCATTGCAGATCTTCAAATTGTTTCCACGGACACGTCTGCCAGAACAAAGAATGCGCTATAGCGGGCAAGAGTGTTAGGGGATGTCGAATGCCCGCTTCGATGCACGGGATGGATGCCAAGGTCGCTGACTGGGTGGCCCCATCGAATGTCAAAGTGAAGAACAAAGCTAAGCTGGCTACACCAACCAAGATGGAAGATCTCCGGCCGTTCGATGATATCGGAGACCTTATCGACTTTGACTAATGGGTTTCTGTCTGGCCAGGCGTGTACTTTACCTGGACCTGAATACTGGAGTAAGGATTAGAAGGACACAAGTAGATGCCCGAGATGATGAACCACGAACCTAATGAGGAAGACCGAGGAAGCGCCTTGTAGGCTACATATACCTGGGAACGACACGCCTACAAATCATAGGAGAACGCGCCTTGGGGCTCGGATTCGTTGTAGGCATGTGTACCATCTATGGATGTGCGTCGACATCGAAGGGCTATAAGCAAGCTAGTAGATGGAAAAGCCAATACATTGGAGAACTGAAGACAAAAACAATCATCCATTATGATTGTTGAATGTGGTGCATGACTGAGATCTGAACGATGTAGATGACCTCATGTTCCCATGGCTGCCAAGCCTCCATCGCCGAGGCGCAAGTTCGCGCCAGTGAACCTTCCATCGCGAACAACACGCGTCCAGCCACCTCATTTTTCCGGACCCGTGTACCAACGCCCACCCCGCATCACTTCTCGCGCTTCCGTCTGAGTGAACACTCTATCTGAAACCTTCACATGATCCTGCAGCACCCGCGATTGCCCGGTAGTGGTAAGCAGAATTCTGAAGGTGCCTACTGATGTCTTCTGGTGCCCGAACAGTATGCACAGGAAAGCATCGCACCACTGCGCAACTGCTCCGAATGCGAGATCGTTGAGGCTGTCAATGACGCATATGCTGAGGTGTGGAGTCGCTGCCAGAAGTGCTGAGAACAACTCAAGAGCTGCCGGCCAGCTTTCATCCGAACCGTCCAATCTACGTAGCGCGTCCTGAGACGCTTCGAAAGTGTCTCCGTCAAATTGGAATTGCAACAGCTGAGATACCAAGCTGTACACCAGCCCGATCAGCCCGACTTTCTCCAATTCTCGGTCCGCTACATGTGTCGCAATCCGAGGTCTCTCGCAGAAATGCGAAACTGTCGGTATTCCCGCTTCCCACGCTGCAGCTAATATGTTCATCGCGAACGCGCGAGAGCTGGATATGCCACTATGCGATACTTCTGGGCCTGACACCCAGAGTGTAGAGAACCCAGCTTCTGCATCCTCCCAAGCCTGGTGTTTGCACGTTCTTTGGACCTCAGATACCCAGCATTTGTTATCGACACAAAGCGAACGACCTTCGGTCCCTACACAGAAGTCCTCTAGACCAGGAACGAGGTACCTTGATTCTGTTCGATTTACCAAGTTGTCATCCAGCGCGGCTTGCCCTGGCGCCCTGAAATCAATAGTCTGTGCGAGCTCCTCCTTTTTATGATTATCTTCTTCAGCCCCGAATTCGATACAAGACCTCTTGTGCCCACTTAAAAGCAAGTTATGTGAGTTCCGTCCTATGTCATACAAGTCGGAGAGCTCCGAGTTTTGCTGTAGCTGAAGAAGCAAGCGTTCACCGCTTCGCTTCTGCTCCGCACTCATGACCAGCGAATTGGCCAGGTCCGCAGTCTGCGCTACCCTATACATCATCGTCACTTCTCTCTCGATTTTTGCTATCGCTTGTTCGTATCCTTGCTTTATCTTGTTGTTGAAGCTCTTAAAAAAGCGGGTCGGCTGCGACTCCATATACCACTGCATAGCCTCGCGATAGAAGAGGAAGACTTGCGCGTAAAGTCTGGAATACAGCTCGCGCATCCGGCGTGTCTGTACCAACAGCACAAGATCCGCTGTATGAATCGCTACTTCGGTTATATGAGTAACATACTCTGAAAGGCAGTCGGCAATCTCGTCGTGGTTGACAGCAGCCTCAATGATGAGCATAAGGCTACCAGAAAGCACAGAGACGTAACTGTTGTGCGACGGGAAGATCGTGAACACGTTCTTGTGGGCTTCCAGTCCTTGGCAGAGGTGACGAAATCGACAAGCGAACTTGTTGGTAGAATTAGTAAGGTGAGCATTACTGCGCAGTTTATCTGGCTATCGTACCAATCCTTCTTTGCTCCTCCATGTGTTCTCAAGATCACGAACGTAGTTGCACAAGTCATCGAATCCATGGGTGGCCATACCCTGGATTGCCTCATTGGCTCTCGTCCGAGCCGCTTTGCGTTTCAATCCGAGTTTCGCTAATCGCGATGGCGGTTCTGGAATCTCGAACAATTTGCAGGTCTCAAGAAGTGCAAGTCTCTCCGTTTCGATTGTATGGAAGGCAAAGTCGCTAATTCTGTCAGTACAAGCAGATACACGGAAAGAAGATGAGCTTACTCTTTCTCGTCGTCTTTGTATAGCGCCCGTGCCCGAGCCTCGAACATCTGCTTCTCTGCAGCGTCCTGCGCATGCTGTACTCTAATGGTCGCAAGCTCGAGGGTCGAATCTCCTGGCAGCTTGTTTGTAAATCGCCGCACCAGCGTTTGTCCTTCAAGATTCTCAGCCTCGATCCGATTAGAAACAGTGTCCGACGCCATCTGCTGACCTTGAGATTTGACTACGAACCTACGGAGATCAGGTCAGCTAGTGATGATGCAGGCAGAAGATCCAAAGGCTTGCTGAAGCCCTGCGCCTCACTTGCACCCTTGCAACCTCAACAAAGGGTCACACAATCTGCAATGGCCCGCGTGGCTTCACAACTGAGAAGCAGTAACACTTCCAATACCTATACACTGGTCACGACGTGCGTGGCTTCATTGCTGAACAAGAGGTACAGATTGATATTATCGCGACACAAGCGCTGATCTGAGCTAGATTGACGGGACCTCATGTAGTATCCGTTTCTTTGTCCTCGTTCACTGCCCGCGTCATGCATTCTCCCGTATAACTACGCATGACTATCTAATTTAGGCTGACCGGTTACGAAAACAACTCGGGAAAGCCCAAGCAGCGGCAGGTTCCTGAGGGGCCAACCTTGGCTCAATTGCGACCACGAAATCATTAGATTTTGATCATTCACGACACCGCGCTTCTTCTCTTGTCCATCATGGCAACGGCCGAGCCCAGCTCGCTTCCTTCCAACGCCTGTGCTGAGCCACCAAGAAAGCCTTGCCCGGAATCTGTTCTCGTCGCAGTCGGTGGAGACGAGTCTATTGCTGACCACTACTCCAAAAACCCGAAGCACGGCCGATCGAAACTCCCCAGCGGTGATACTACTGACGATATTCAACAATGCAACAGCCAATCCGAAGAAGTCATGGAAGCCTGCTCCGAAAACAACAGTGCTGGAGATGCGAACTCTCAGGACGAGGAAGCCGAAGAAGTAACCGAGGAGCTAGGCGAAGAGGACCACGAACAAGAATTTGATGACGATATCACATTTGAAGCTCCGATGGATCATGTCAACAGAGCTATCCAGGCGGCCACCGAAGCTGGGACGAAGAATGAACCGTGCTTCGACTTGTCGACAGGTTTACCTCGGCATATCAGCGCAAGATTTGAAGATTCGGACTACTACGTCATTCCTTGGATAGCGTGTTACTCATGGGAGGTATGAAGAACCCATTTTTTATAAATTTCGTGTTGTACGCCTGACTCAGTATACCAGGTGGTCTTAGTTTTACTAAAGATGTATTACTGCAACGACCACAATGCACTGAACGACATAAACTGGAACAACATCACTATTCGAAAGGTAGACCATGGCTTAATCTCCTCTGAAACGTGGGATTCAGTTATCCAACACGGAATGCGCGTCTCATTCTCGGTACACTCCTCTCGCGTCCCACAGCAGCCTCCACTGGATTACCGAGATCAGTTGCGGTATACTGTCACCTACTTGGAAGTCAGTCCAAAAGACAGGGATGGATGTTTCGTCGACGAGCGCACATATGACGCTCCAATGGAGGTAGAGACTATCCACGGTGATACAGCGATGCCCGCACTGGAAGAATTGAGGACCATCCAGACCCCACGTTACCGGGCAAATGAGAAGGACGCCGATGCGCAAGCGAGAGCTAAGCTGGGGCCTCTCGATCAAGTGAAAGAGATTAGCCTGAAGATCAATTCGTCATATCTACTGAACATACTCAAGTCGGTGATCGAATACGCGTCAGAATCTCCTCATGGAGAGGAGTTCGGTGTAGGTATGGGCGAGTTCAACTACCCATATAAGGATCTTTACCATCACATGGACGATCTGGTAAGATACCGGGCTGGTGAGAGCTACTTACGTGCTCAGCACCCCGCAGCTTTCAACGAGAGGGCAGACTGTCACATTGACTTAATTCTTGACTATCTGAGCTTGCAACGAGATATACCCTTCGAGAAATATGCCTCTGCCCGCCGCGAAAAGGTGTCAGTCACTACTTTCGCATCATGCTGGTTACTCCTAAAACCGGGCACTGATGTGTATGTGCGTGAAGAAGATGGACTTATGAACGCGTATATCGTGCATGCAGTCAGCGGAGGCGTCACCCAGGTCGATGGAAAAGCGATCAATCGCGACTACGAAGTATCCGTATGGAACCTGGCGTGTGATGGAACACACGCATTTCCCGAGGTTCGACATGTGCGTGTTCCAGTTTTCGACAACGAGAGGGAGGTGAAAAGTCTGCCCGTATTTCCCGTTGAGTACAACGACAACTTCGACGACGGTAAACTCAAGCAGGAGTTGACAGAACGAGGCAAGAGGTATCTCAAATACACGAGCCAACCAAGCTTCTTGCAGTACTCTGGCCGGGGCTTAACAAAGGGTGTAGAGGTAGCTACATCATAACGCCTACGATATAAACAACTGACTGTATGCAGTACAAACGAGCACGTGTTGTTGTTGCACACGAGAAGACGCCCTGGATTTCTTGCGACTTCAGCGATGCCCACCATAGACCGATGAATTTCTCAACCTACATAAAAGCATCTGTTCGCGTGGCAAGCTGCGAATGCCACCAATGTGAAGAGTTGAGAACATCGCAAGAGAGTCACGACAAGGAACGATTCGGCGATTATCATACGATTCAGCCAAAGAGCCCTGATCTGATCTCTGACCATCAATACATGCTTATGGCATCGCATGTTTATGCCTTCATGCTGAAAGAGCGCACTTATGGTATGCTCGCCATCTTTGTCGCCCTAAAGTTGCTTACTGTACACTAGACTTGCTAGCTGTCGAAGGCTTGGAAGAGCCTGAGCTGGTCGAAACAGCGATCGACAGACTGGTCATAGATCACAACAACAAAGAGTTGATCAAGGTCATGGCCCAGGTCTATACAGATAGCGACCCCGATCGGTTCAGTGGGGACTTCATACGTGGAAAAGGCGAGGGGCAGATCATACTTTTGCACGGGCCTCCTGGAACTGGCAAAACGCTCACAGCTGGTGTGTTTCCGTATCATGTTGTCGGTGTACAATGACTAAAGTGTCCCAGAAACCGTTGCAGAGTATACACGACGACCGCTCCTTAGCATCACTGCAGCTAACTTAGGCCATAAGCCTAAAGCGTTGGAAAGGAGTCTTCTCCGCTTCTTCAAAGATGCTAGTGACTAGGGCGCTATAGTGCTACTAGACGAAGCAGACGTGTATCTCGAGCAGCGAACGATACACGACCTGAGGCGTAACAGCATTGTATCAGGCAAGCTTTTCACCTCTGTGTCTACTAACGGTCGCTAATTGTCATTACAGTGTTTCTCAGAGCTCTCGATTATTTTGAAGGCATATTTTTCTTGACGACGAATCATGTTGGTCAATTCGACGAGGCCTTCATGTCGCGCATCCATCTCTCACTCGGGTATGACAAGCTAACGAACGACTCGCGTGGCAAGATATGGGACAATATGTTCAGGAAGCTCCGCGATGATCACGAGCGTGGCGGACGAGAAATACTCTACGAGTATGACGCGAAGAGCTATGTCAAGAGCAGAGAGGTACAGGAGCTAGAGTGGAACGGACGAGAGATTCGAAATGGTGAGTCGCTTGATGTGTATACTGCAACGTGTGACTGACGAGTCGTACCGTAGCCTTCCAGACCGCCGTCGCCTTAGCGGTCTTTGAAGCCAAGAAGGACAAGAGTGGAAGGCCACCCAAGGTGACTGAGGGCCGCCTCAGACAAGTCGTGCAGATGTCTTCGGCTTTCCCCAAATACATGACTGCTGCGCATAACGGTATGAACGAATCGACATGGGCTTTCAGACATGGGAATCGCGAGGACAAGTTTCCAAGCACACCAGCGAAGACTGCGACTTGAATCTGGGTAGCGCGAAAGTACTTTCCTCATGCTTTTTAGTCGTCAATATCTACTTTGACGGCTTCTCAAATGGAACTGAGTTCCTACGCTTAGTTTCAGTTCATGGCAAGCTCAAAACCAACTCCTCGCATGTGTCAATCACCGAGAAGCAGTACATGACTTAGTTCCGTTATACTTTGATCGCATGCTGTTCTCCAAGAACTCTTTTAGATACGCACTAGCTGCAAATCGCAGCGCAAACAACATATCCATGGATCGAATTTGTTTTGATAATGTGATTTCGAGATGTAGTTGAAGAGACAAGATGCGTACTTCCAAAAGGTATATATACCCTTGCATGGCTGGAATTTATGAGGTAGGTCATCGCATCTCTTTCGTACACGACTCATGCTATTTTCCGAGCACGCATTTCTGTCATAGTTGGTTCTTCTGGTTGTGAGACCACAGCACACTCATCATATCAAACACTTTAGCTTTTCGTTTTGGATAATGCGTGATATACATCGGATCTTTTTGCGACTGTGCTCAACTTCTCAGAACATAGTATTTTAGCTCGTCCGTTTTGGGTTTTCTGAAAGAGGAGGCAAGGCTCTCGCTCATCAAATCGTTCCGAACAAATTTGGAAACGCAGCTTTCGATGTTGGAGAAAGAATGAAGGATGGTACAGGTCGTCGGAACGGACAGTATTTATACACCTCTGCTCCACTTCGACACAGCCACTCATCGGCTACGTTTTGATACTGTTGCACGACGACACACATGGATCCTGAATGTTTTCGTTTTAGTAGTTCCGCAGACATCATCTTTTCAGGAAGCTCTTTTGGAGTCTCGAGACATGTATGGGGGTTCCTGTGTTTTGAAGACATCGAAAGCACAAGCCAGACTCGCGCACATGAAAGTACTTTTGGAGGCTTTTGGAAGCACAAACATTAAAGTTGTGGTAGGAGTATAGAGCTTGAAGGCAGCGACGGAGCAGATATTTATACTCGCGTCAGAGCTCCGATGTTCGACAGTCTTTTGGGCTTGAGACATAAGGCGAGAACATGTGCAATTTTCCACCCATTTTTGGTATGTGATGTGATGGCCATGAGGGATAGCAGACGTGCGCAAATCAGGGAAGGAAGCCCGAAAATGTCCGAAGAATATACATGTGCGAGCTGTGGATTCATCGTGTAGCTGTGAGTATGTCGAAGGATACCCTGTCCCTGTTGAGACATCGAAAGTGGGAAACATGTCTCCAGAACTGCCCAAAGCAGGCTCTCTGAATACCACAAGAACATGCGCGATGAGCACTAGCATTTAATTTTGAGAGAGAAGGTCATGGGTCGAAGACGAACGGCATTTGGAACGCTCTTTCTGTGAAGGTTGGAATGAAGAAGGGTTGTGGGTGGTTCGACGAGCAATTTATAGACCCAAGGACAAGAGTTTCAAAGACGGGCCATGCCGGAATCCATGAAATGTTTATCATTATGGTACAAAAGTCTAACTTAAAATATACATCAGTTCGACAACACCTCAACAATGTTATCCCAGAAACCCAAATCGTACACATTTTCCACCGCCGCCAGATTCCACACGCGCTCGAAGCTATCTTCTCTAGCTACTGACTGTATGCGGACCGGAAGTGTTTTAGGTGGTTGACCATTTCGCGTGCGAATGAGAATATGTCTACTTTCTAGCGGCCAGGTCGTTGGCGGCTCTTCGTCTTCTGGCGGGGTTTCCGGAGGAGTCGGGAATGGCGACGTTGACGAAGAAGAATGCGCGGAGGCATGTGTATGTTGCCGTGCAGGTGTTGCTGAGCGGTATTCTTGCATAGTATCTTCCCGCCTATGGCCCAAGAAAACGACGCCATCGGCCATTTCGTCTCGCCAGTCCGCCCACTTGGCGCTCTCGTTCGTAGTCATGCCGGCCCAGATCAGGTAGACGTGGTATGCGAGCAGACCCAACGGAAGCGGCCATGTGAGAAGAGCCAGTAGTCCAACCCCAGATCCGCGCACACCGCCCATGTCGAGGTAGATGGTTGTGTAGATGAGAAAGTAGTGGGTCTTCCTGTCAAAGTATCCAAACCAGCTCTTCGTGTTTACGCCTTGCTTGGGGCTGTATCTGTACCATCCTTCGTACTTCAGGTAGTGTCTGTGGACCAACGGCGAAAGGCTGTAGTAAGCCAGGTATGCGCCATAAGCGATCAGTATGCCGGTGGATAGCAAGAGGGCTAGAAACCACTTGTAGTTGCCCCTTCCTAGGCAGTTGTTGACCCATATACAATGATGGTCCATCCTCGACACGCATGTCTTGCATATACTGCAATGCTTGCTCCGCGCTGGCTTCAGGAACTTGCACGTCCGGCACGGCGTGCCTGGATAGTACAGCACCCTGTCGTACGGGTAGTGTCGCATCTGCTCGGCATGGTTGAGCGTGGTGATGTATGTCTGGCTGTTGCTCTTCGCGCTGAGATATAGGAAGATGTACGGCTGCGGCAGAAGAACGAAGGCTAGGAGCTTGTGATGCGGTCGGATGAGGTGCCAAACGGTGGGCAGGAACAGCGTCGCGCATGCGGTTACGAGGCCGAGGAAGAAGATGACGACCAGCGGGTGCTTGTCGTGCATGAGGTAGTTGCCCAGGCGGGCGCCGCCATTGGTGATGCGGCCATTGGTGAGGGCGAGGTCGAACTTTCGGAAGGCGGAGGGGAGGTGGATGAGGAAGAGGCGGTTAAGGAAGCCTATGGGAGTGTTTCTGGGAATGTTAGAATGGATGATGCGAGCAGGAGGAACGTAGATACCTGAAAGCCGGCAGTCGTCCGAAGAAAGCTACAAAAGTCACCAGCGACACTGTGATGGTGAAGATGATGATGGTGCGGGCGACGGTCATGGTGAAAGAGACCAGCAGGCTGCGACACTACGCATGGCGGAACAGAATGAAGATGTGGACCGAAGCTCTATGGCATCACGTCGCGCTCTGTCTGTCAGTTCACAGAGGTGACAGCGCAAGCGTCGGATAGGCCTGAGCAGCCGCGGAGGCTAAGCGACCCCGCGTGAATCATGCGTCCCATGTGAGCACGCGTCGCGCCTGAGCCAACGCGTCATTCACCACCACCACAACCCGACAACACCACCCCACCATGGCTGGGCCGACCGTATACACCGACGTCGCCGAGGATTTTGATTTCGCATCGGGCGGCCAATTATTCGCCGGCAAAAAGTTCTGGGTCGCGCAGCGCGTGGCGTCGCGGAAACGGCTGCTGGACGACATCAAGGCCAACGGCGGAGAGATCGTTGCATTGGAGAAGAAGGCGGACTACCTCATCGTCGACCACGCTCGGAGAGACTGCCCTCCCGGATCAACATCGTATGAGTTCATAGAAAAGTCCATCAAGGAGGGAGAACTCCAAGATCCCGAAGACTACACAGCCGGACCGCCGTCAGGTGAGGCGCGAGAGGCTGGTTCCATCCACCAGCCCACGAAGAGCGGAAGGACAGCGTACACAGCAGAAGAAGATAGGATACTCTCCAAATGGGTGCGCGACGCTCAATCAAAAGGCGCTTCCATCAGTGGGAACGAGCTATACAAGCAGCTTGAAGCCAAGGTATGCGCCAACAAAGAAATCGCGCGTGGGAGTGGTTGCTAACAAACGACAGTACCCACGGCATACATGGCAGTCATGGCGCGACCGATGGGTCAAGACACTTAGCAAACGCCCGCTCTCGGCTTTCACGATACCTGATAACGCTCCTCCATCTCCTCCCTCCGACCAGTCGAACGAACGTATGCCCCCAGTTCCATCCCCCTCCAAGCCTACAGAACAGCAAATACCTAAAACAGAACAGGCTGCGAGCGCGACAGCCCTCGATAACAAAGGCAAAGCAAAAGCAAACCGCGACTATAGTGTGGAAGAGTTAGAAGTCTTGTTCAGCACAGACGACTGGCTGGAATGCTATGCTTTTGTAGAGATCATCGATGGCGTCGAAGGACAAGACGACTATCTCTCTGCTTGGGATGGGTGGGCTGAAAATCAGGGTAATCAAACTGCCGAGCAGTGGCGGCAGTATTACGAGAAGGTAGTCCGTCCACAGTGGTTGCGCGATCCGGTATCGAAAAGGGAGAAGATCAGGAAGAAGATGGAACAAAAGCACGATGCCGAAATTGCAAGGCGGAGTCAGGCGCTCAGTCAGCATCCAGCAGAGATAGAGAAACCAGACGAAACACTCCCGCAACCTCCTCCAACAACACGAAATAGACTGGAGCCGGTACAGCGGTCAGCCTCTGAGGGAGCGCACTCTGAGGAAGTACTGCAAAATCGAAACCCACCCAAAATCGCATCAGAGCCTAAGATGCCGTCATCATCCACCGCTCGCCAAGAATCCCCGAACTTTTATGATGAACAGCTTGCCAGGTACACTAAGCGATTACGGGAAGACAACTTTGTGAAGCAGGAAGATGAGGAAGAACTAGCTCCTCCCACCAAACGTCGGAAGAGCGGAAGCGCGACGCCTACCCAGGATGAGCCAATGCATCCGATCAAAGCCGAGGGCACGCAGAACCAGCCTGTGGAGATATCTTCCGCTGCGAGTTCCCAGACTACTTCGACGTCAGAAGATGCCGAGGAGCTGATGCAAGAGCAAATCCGGTCTCAAGGACTCGATGCAGTGGATGAAGATGCTACCATTGTCAACATGGACGAGGATCTGAAGGAAGAAGAGGTGGGAAGCATAGAGTCGGATGAGTTTCCTGACATCGACGAGCTACACCCACTCTCACCACCGCCAGAGCAAGACTCCGTATCTGGCGATGATCTGCCCTCAAATACACCTACACCGCGTGCCACCCGACAAAAGGTTTCTAATTTCGACACTCAAGCCATCCTCTCGTCGCCGACGCAAGACACGTTCTCAAGACCACAAGACTACGTTCCCAACATGAACCCTCGACAACCGCAGCGATTTTCATCACCACCCGAACAACCGCCATCCGACGCATCGACAACCCAGTCTATGGAAGAGTTCCGCCGCTCCCTCCAAGAAGAAGGAGAAGGAGAAGACCCCGACCAAACACTCTACTCGCAACATCCCCCTCAACCCCTCCTCATATCCTCATCCCCCGCACCTTCCACCTCATCCACAGGCGAAGAAGACTCCGACCCACCTCTCACCGGCGACGAAATCATCGATTTCTACACCGAGCTAAACGAGCAAAAATGGTCCAACGAATTCATCAGCAAAGCACTTAAACGCACAGGTCTGCGTCCGGACTTGGCGGAAAAAGTACTCGATGCATGGAAGCTTGGGAAGCCTTTACCGATGGAAAGGGGTATTTGGAGTAAAGAAGACGACGAGGCTGTTGAGGGTGGTGATGGGTATCAGTTGGCACTGTTGGAAAAGAAACATACGCTAGATGGGTGGGGTGGGATTGTGGAGAGGTTGAAGTTTTTGGACACGTATCGAAGTCGGTAGGGGGGTTGTTTGGGAGTTGGTGTGGTTATCTCTATCACTTTCATCCTGACGTCTGTCAACATGGAGTCGATTTTCGGAATGGTGTTTCGCAAGATTGGATTGGACGTTCATATTTGTATATACCCTCAGCGCGCCTACGTGGCCTCTATCCTCACGTAAAAGGCTAGAACAACGATCTGGCAATCTATGGCTAGAAGAAGCTCATCGAACCAACTTCTACGACCCTCAATGCCCAACCCAAGCCCGATGCGCCTCCCCATACCTCTCCCCCTCCGGCTTCGCCTGATCCACAATCCTCCTCATCTCCGCCATCTCCTCCTCGCTCAACTCCACATCCCTACTCCCCCAATTCTCCTCCAACCTCCCCACCTTCGTCGTCCCCGGAATCGGCATCATCCCCTGACTACTTACCCAAGCCAACGCAATCTGACTCGTCGAACACCCCTTCTTCTTCGCCAACTTCTTAATCTCCTCCACAATCGCTTTATTGCGATAGAAATTTTCGCCTTGGAATTTCGGGACAGTACGCCTGAAGTCGTCAGGCGCAAAGTCGTCGGGTGAGGCATAGTCGAAGTTGTCGACGAGCCAGCCGTGGCCGAGGGGTGAGTACGCGATGTAGGAGATGGAGAGTTCGGCGGCGGTGGCGATGAGGGAGTCGGTTTCGTGGAGGGTTTCGAAGGCGGAGTATTCGGCTTGGATGGCGTGGATTTTGGCGACTTAAGTGGATTAGTAAGTTGAAGACTGATAGGTTAGGGGAAATTGTACTTGAGTTTGCTTTTCGGAGTGTCTTGGCCGAGCACTCTGAAAGACCAATGTACTTGGTCTTGCCTGCCTTGCGGCATTCGTCGAGTGCGGGGATGGATTCTTCGAGGGGGGTCTTGGGGTCAATGCGGTGGAGGTAGTAGAGGTCGGGTGTAAATCCCAGCCTCTCAATGGTACCATCGATGTATTTCTTGATGTGAGCTGGGCTGTTAGTTACGCCTGACTCGCCATCGAAGCATGCAACGCCACACTTTGAGGCAACTGAACATAGGCTATCAGTGATACTGCCAGTGCGAGATCTTGTTCTCTAAGTGAGATGACTTACTGAAAACCTTGTCACGGACGTTGTGCTTTCGGATGAAGTCTCCTAGAAGCTTTTCGTTCACACCTGCCTGATACACGACGGCAGTGTCCCAGAAAGTGCAGCCGAGTTCAATGGCTTTGAGAAGAACAGGCTCAGCTTCTTCGAGGCTGAGGTTGCTACCTAGCCCATGACTGAGACCCATGCAACCAAAGCCTGGAGATGGAACTTGGATGTCCTGGAACTGGAATGTCTTGACCATTTTGATGGAGTTGGCTGCGTAGAGACGAGGTGTGCTGAGGTAGAAGTGGAAGCTGGTGAGCTGGTGTAATAATGCAGGACTTGCCCACATAGGTCTTTCTTATATATTCACACATGGCGACTTGGAATACGTTCGGTGATACAGACTTTGAGAGTGTCAGCCAGTTGCATTAGCGGACCCATGCAACTTCGTGGATAAGTGATGTTGAGTCGAGTATCTCCGCTAAAGCCGCGTTACCTTCATGCCTCACGTACTCCTAATCCTCACGTACTCCTAACAAGAACCGAATTTTGTCGGTGAAGAATCTGACGTGATGTCCACATGGTTGTTTCAATTGGCGTGCTCAGAGGCGTTATGTCCGTTACCGCCGGTGTTGCGACTCACATGGACATCGATAGTTTGAAGTATCGACGTCTTGTCTATGCCAATTTCGCAGGTAGGTTCCACAATCGCATAGCTTATAGAAGTGACTGTTGGTATTATTGCAATTGTATTCAGCTAGTACGAGTTGCTTTGCCTAAGGAGAGGTGAGATATGTGGGAAGACCGCAGCTAGCACATCGATGTTGATGAGGACCTCCAGCCACGCAGCCACAGCTTCAAGCCACTCATTACCAGCAATGACGTCGCCCAAGATGTGGATGCTGGAACCCTGCTTGTCGCGTGTGTCTCCTGAGATCTGTTGAAGTGTCGACACAACTACGTCTTCGCGTCTCCGTGTATTACGCCGCGATCCGATCTCCCCGGCCATTGCATCATCCCTGAGCCGACAATGAGGCACCGACTGTCGGCGCTGGCCTCGCTCCCACGCGCCTCAACCTTCCCAATCGCTCGATGCGCGCCACTATTCACACGCAACTCTCCACGCATATCAATACAGCTTAGGGCATCCTCCCAATTCAGATGCTATGCGACCAAGCCCAGAGGCGTGGACAAGGAGACTGACAAGTATGGAGATTACAGCAACTCCAATGCGCGGCCCGCTGCAGACCTCAACGAGAACATCACACAGGAAGAGAAGGACCACTTCGCAAAGAAACTGAAAGAAGACAAGGGCAAGCAAATACGAACACCATGGCACAGGGAAGGAAGCGACTTGCCGCCTGTTGCGCGACAGAGGAGCGCTGGAGCCATGACCAAGGGTATGCCTCTTTCGTTTTATGAGGACTTGGTCACTAACAAGAGATAGGCAAACTTCTCACTACCCCATCACGGATGCTTAAGATCATCCTGCCACTTACGACGAGCGATATGAACACCGATCGCAAAGACGTGGAACCGCTAGCACTTCTCGTCCACCCACAACAACCCATCTCCTACCTCGAACGCCTGATACAAGCCGAGCTACCCACAATCAAGGACAAGGAGGGCCGTGATCGCCAGCCGAATGTCTACTTCCGCGCCGAGGACTCGATGCAGCACGACGCCGAGCCGGAGGAAGTGGAAAGCACACCAGTCAGTAACGAAAGCGAGAGTCTCAGCGAGAAAGACGGCGAGGAAGACTTTGAACAGGTCGACGAGATCCGTATCGACGGAAAGGTCCAGAAAACAGGGAAGCTCAACAGCCAAGATCGGAAGACACCTGAGCAAGCTGAGCAGCTGCGAGGTGGGCCTGGAAAGGGAGGCGTCGAGTCGTACTCTGGACAGGGCCAGGAAGCACCAGCAGACAAGCAGGGCGAACGCAAGTTTGTACGATGGTCATCATCAACCGAGATTGGTGACTTCATCCGCGATGCTGCTCGAGGGCAGGAATTCGCCATTGAGATTGAAGGTGCGCCAGAGGAGATCCGGGTTGGTGTGCCCAGCTTCAACGACAGGACCTACTATCTACGAATGCGTCTGCGCAAGACGTCCAAGAAGATCAGTGAGATGGCGAGTGTGAAGAAGGAGTGCGACGATCTGGCACAGGCGGCGGCAAAGAACGTTGCAAGGGCTGGTTTCGTCGGCATCGCTGGATGGTGGTGCGTTGTGTACTACCTCACCTTCCAGACGGAGCTGGGCTGGGATGTCATGGAGCCCGTCACGGTAAGTTTGGTCACACCTTGAATCTGGGATTATCTAACGTTCTGACAGTATCTTGTTGGTCTCTCTACCTTGATTGGAGGTTACGTATGGTTCCTCTACCACAACCGCGAAGTCAGCTACCGGTCTGCCATGAACTTCACCGTATCCCGCCGACAGCAGAAGCTGTACGCGCAACATAATTTCGATTTGCGCAAGTGGGAAGTCCTGATTGAAGACGGAAATGCCCTTCGCAAGGAGATCAAGGCTGTTGCCAACGAGTACGATGTTGAGTGGGACGAACTACAAGAAGAGAAGGACGAGAAGGTCCAGGAAGCACTCAAGAAGGACCGCAAGAAGAAGGAGGAAAAGAAGAAGTCAAAGGACGACGAGGATGACCCGGCACCGGAACCGAAGAAGGACGACTAAGCCACGTGAGCGGTAGTTTGTTGGACCAGCTCATACATGTTTTGTAGATTGAGCACTTGAGCGAGGCGTTCATGGGCATCTTCGGTAGACAGCGCTTGCAGCATGGTACATATTGCTGCCACGTGTGGTTGTCCACCACATATACATATTTGCCATTGAATATCACTTTTGATCATCTGATGGCGCGCAAGCTGATTTAATATGAGAAAGCATCGTCAGCCGGGTTTGCAGGCGGAGAACGCCCTGCTGTCATCTATAACGTGGTACTGTGCCGCCACTATACATGACCGCGTCTGGGGCTAACGCGCTGTCAGACCTGGGTCTGGGAATGCACGATTGCCGAAAACCGTACTACTACCATCAGCATGCAAGCAATCGCTTCCTCCCACGGTCATCAGTGTGCCTTTTGTCTCACACCTCAGTCCATGATAGGATTGCGACACCACCACCAACTCGTAAAGGAATGTGCATCATCATGTATAATCGGTAGCAATGTCCACGTATGCGACAAATGTTGTGTTGCGATATAAATGGATTGTTGCCTCCTCGGCCAGCGAAAAGCAACTCGGCACCAAGACACTTCGAGATGGCGGTGCATGGTGGTGTAGAGATTTAGGGCCCGGGTTGGAGTGGGCCGTTGCGCGTGTTGGAGTGGGCCCACAGCGACTATTTATATCGCCCCGTGTGGGGATTTCTTCTTAGATACCAAGACGAACACCACAACGGTCGCATGTCGGACAGGACGATAAACGTGTCACGAGGCTGTCCGAACTTCGCCCGGAATACATCGGCGGTTTGCAGCACACCTGGGATTGATAGTGCTTGTTCCGAGAGGTGCTAGACGGGTGCAGACATGGCCTGAGGATGGCGACCGTGTGGTGCCTGTTCTTTACTTAGCCGCCGACGTCTGGTCGCGGGCAGGGATGGTGCATAAGGTGCATGTGGGCGTATGCATGAGGCGGCGCCCATTCGCTGGACAAGCAAAAGTCAAGCCTCGCTACAGGGCCAAACCTCCGTCGTCGACACTGCATCGAGTCTAGACGTGCAAGCCGCGTGCCCGACATGATCGACGTCTGCTTGCCCGGCGTCGAATTGGCCGCCTTCCCTTCCATCCTCATCGTTGACCGACACACAGCATGACCCAGCATCCTTGCGCGCCTCGGCCTCTGCGTTCGCGTGCTAGGTGACAACGTCGAGCGTGGTGCAGCGACCAACGCCGCCCCATCGCGTCTCCGCTGCTGGATTCGCCCGTACCACTTGGGAGCCGCCAGCCCTAATTGACATCAAAGTTGATAGTGGCAGCCATGGAGCACGCCTACAGTCCCGCGCCGCCGTCTCCCCGACTGCCTCCACCACCGCCCTCACCGCATCCCGCCCACCTCCAGGCTCCGCAGATATCTCCCCGGCGCTTCGCTGTGCAACCTCCCCTCCTCAACACCACCCTCGCCCCGCCCCATCACTCCCCCCACGCGTACCTGCATGGCTCGTCGTCTACGCCGGGGACTTCCTCATCTCTGAGCCTGCCCTTCACGCCTTCCCCGACGCCCTCGACATATGCGCCTTCCCCCAGCGCCGCTGCTTCTCCCATGGCCATGAGGGGCTCGGGTTCAGCCGTGCCATACAATCCCCAGCAATGGACGCGGGGAGGGAACGTCAGCGGGCAGCATGTCCAGCATAGCCAGACGTCGGTCCCTACGAGGCTCCAGGATGTGACGGGCATGGAAGGTATATATCACTTCCTACTTCTTCCTCATCTCATACCATACGTAGTAGATTGGATAGACTTTCTTTTCGTCTTCGCAAAGCATGAATGCCTGTGTGCCGAAGCCTTGTATCAATTGCGCAAACCCTTCGTGGAAATCTCCCGCGCATAATGAGATGTGATGCTAATGGCAACAGCGTCGATGCCCTCCCCACCGCCTCCGTACTCCCCCGGCCAGAATCCGAACGTATCGCAGTCCCTGAGCAGCCATAGCAATACCTCGTCTCCTCAGATGTCGGCCGGCGCGTTTCCGCATCCTCCACCTCCCCCACCACCGAGTAGCACCCCTTCCTCGGCGCGACCAATCTCTGGGTACCATAGCCGACCCGGATCTATGGTCATACCCTCTAGCGCGACGAGCATAACGTCGAATCCGCTATTCCCTCCTCCACCGCCCAGAAACGGGCCTGGTCGGTCAGCATCGCGCGACAAGTTGGCTTCCAAGTTTAGTCTGTCGTCGTTCAGGAATCGGAACAATGACCATAGTCCTGCCCCGAGCAACATCGACTCGCTTCATATCAGCACTTCCGATGCGATTCAGCGGGCACCAGCTTCTCCTGGCCTGGTCGCACAGAGGGCAACTTCCAAGTATGTCATTGTACACTGTAGCACGATTCGATACTGATTTCGTTACAGTTACATTGCAAACACGTTAGAACGGCGGTACAGTCCCGACACACAGTCGCCTATCCGGGCACCAACCTCTCGCAGAGCTGCATCTGCTGGCGTACCAGGCTACGAGACCCGGACGCCTATTGACGAGTCGCCCATAGTTCCACCAGGAGGGAGCTGGAGTCGAAATGCCCCATTACCCCCGCCTCCGCCGGGCCCGCCGCCCAGCAGCTCAAGATCGCAAAGTATGGGCCCCGGAACAGAACCGCCAGCAAATCGAGCGCCTACTTTACCCTCCGCGCCTCCAACGAGGAGGCCAGGTCAAACAACATTAACGCCGATACCACCTACACCCCAGGGCTGGCAGGAAGAGCCGCAGAACGTGCGATCAAGATCCCCTGCAGCACACGGCCTACACATTGATACAAGTCCTCGCGCTGTCCATCTATCAGATCCTGCGCCAACGTCAGAAAGCGGAAGCGTTTCGATATCTTCGGGGCCAACGACTATCACATCGGGTTCCGGGAGCACTCTCTATCGCGCAAACAAACGGGAATCTAGTACCAGAGGCATTCGGGAGCGAAGGAGCGAGAGTCGTGCTGCTCGGGAGCTACGGATCGAGCCGAGCAACAACCCTTGGGCGCAAGATTTAGAAGCAGAGTCAGCAAAACCCGCCAATCTCGACTTGGGAACGCCTGAGGGTGGGTTGACGCGTCGTGGTGCCATCACCAAAGGCACACCGAGGAGTGGTGGCGCCCTACGATCGCCCAGGAGCGGACACCTCTTTGAAGACCCTGGGTCGTCGCATTCTACGCCTCGGATGGACGTGAACGGAAAGGCGGCATCTTTGTCCGTCGCAACGCCACCTTTCTCGCCAGGTATGGAACATCTCAGTCGTTCAGCACAAAAAGCACCCGTCTCCATTCCCTCGAAAGCGCTACCCACTCCACCGTTGCGTATCTATGGTGATGATGGAGAAGCGGATCTGACGCGACACTCAGAAGCTGCAAACGAATCGGCTACGCAAACACCCAACACATCGAGAATGGGCGTACAAAGCTCAACGCTGAGCACACCCAAGCCAGCAAACATCCACGCTTTTGCGACTGCCTCCATGGAGCGACATCGACAGTTCATTGAAAAAGAGATGGCTGCGGAAACGGACCAAGACAGGCTGGAGTTGTTTGCCGAGTTCATTGTCACTGAGTCGCGACTCCGCCGTGATCGGTACTCTGGAGCTTTCGACGCAATGGCCGGAGACATTATGGATCTGACAAGAGATTTGTGGCGCTCGTACGGCAATTCTGGGCGCAGATCAGCTACACCAAACACCCAGGCCACGCCTGTAGGTCATAGTAGCAGGAGATCTCAAGGATCTGTAGCCGGCGAATCTCCAGATACACGCTTCTCCTCGATGCCGACGACAGCTGCTAGCCCGGCATCCTCCATTGGCAACTTCACTCCGCATACCGAACCGGCCTCTCCTTCGAGCGCATCTAGCCAGAAAGCTCGCGATGCTTCGTGGGCGAACAACTACCACCCCTCGCTCTCGCCCATCCCGAGTATGGCTATGAGTACCATTCCTGATGAGCAAGATTCGCGGGGACGCTCAGCAAGTCGCTGGTGGGAGAGCGATGGCGGCTCATCTGGCGTAGGAGGTGGCAGAAGGGTGGAGCGGAGTAAGCGGGAATCCAAATACATGAGTTTGTTACCGAAAGAGGCCCGCGAGAACCAACAGTGGGCGGGTGAAGATCTCTCTACTCCCAGGCAACGAGGCGAATCTAGCAGTCGACCAGCTTACGGAGCCAATGAATACCCACCCGAGAAGGTCGGACTGCACGAAGACAGTCTACAGTCATCGCAGCAGCAGCCTTACGGTTACTATCCCAGGTCTGCTACGGCGACGCCCGACCCACACAAGCTGGACGTATCACGATTAGTCACTCTCCCGCCATCGTACCCACGTCATCACCCCGCAGTCAACAATAGCCATCCCGATTTGGCAACTATCCGGACTAGCCTCCGAACTCTATCTGAGCTCGACGATGTAAAGAGTACAAAGGCGAAGTTCAAGGCGAAAATTGAAGCACGAAAAGAGCAAGAAAATGCATCGCTGTCTGACAGAAGAGCCCAACTGCGATACAACATCCAGGACAATGTTCGGAATGGAGTCATGTCGTTTGCTGAGGCGGCGAAAGCAGAAGCGGACTTCGAAGCGCGCGAGCACCAAAGAGCTCAGGACGTAGTCCAATGGGTGTTCGACAGCTTTCAGGCTGAAGTCGCCAATCCACTGCACGCCATGTTCTGTGAGCGCATCACCAAGGCCACGGCATCGATGGAGCATCTCAAAGGGCGTTTGAGCAGCGAGGCGCAGGAGCCCAATCCGAACCAGATGCAGGAGGAGGGCGACGAGAAACCAGAACTCCTGGAGATGCTTACCCTGCACAAATGGCTCTTTGAGGCCAGAGAGCAGCTGCACAAGGAGATGTTTGACCTAGAAGACGAGCGCAACGACCTTTACAGAGACATCATCGTCTTGCCGTACGTCCAGACCAAGAACGAGCAGAAGGTGAAGGAAGCCACGACCTTCTTCCAGCGCGATGGCCAGGATCGCAAAGTCACCTTCGAGAAGGAGACTTTGAAGCGCTACGAAGATCTGATGAACGTTATCGAGCAAAACGTGACTCGGGGTGTCGAAGCGCAGTTGTCAGCTTTCTGGGATATTGCGCCTGGACTACTGGAAATCGTGCAGCAAGTACCCCGCAATTTGCATGGCTTCGGAGTTCTGGTCCCACCGCAAGAGTATGCGGAAACACCAGCATACCACGACTACCCTCTACAGTATTTGTACACTCTACTGGCTCATGCTGGTCGTTCGGCGTACCAGTTCATTGAGTCTCAGATCAATCTGCTCTGCCTATTGCACGAGGTCAAGACTGGAGTCATGACCGCGGGCTCCCGACTTCTCGAGACTCAACGACTATTAGAGGGCGAGGATCTTACGGGTGTGAATCAAGAGATGAAAGCCATCAGGGCAGACGAAGAACGGCGACTAACGGATGACCTCAAAGAAAAGGTCGGTCTTGTTGAAAGCCAGTGGAACGAGGCACTTGGGCAAGGCCTGGAAGACTGCAAAGCACGTGTAGAAGACCACTTGACCGAGCAAGGAGGGTGGGATGATACTCTCAAGGAGTAGTCTGAGTGCTTGTTGATGACGATGACGTGGTTGGCATTTTTAGCATTTTCGCACCGTATCGATACCCGTTTGAATATCTACTCAAAATACCATCTCGTAGGTTGCCGAATCTGACATGGATACGCCTTGGAGGTATGATTGCGCTTGTCTCCGAAGACGGTTGTCTAGCTTGCAGTGCTTGTGCATGTATGTTGTGCGTCGTCTGACAGAGATGCACCTTACCCCAGGATAGCTGGTCAGCGGCGCCAAACCTGGTTTCGATGCGCACTTGATAATCTTGCTTTGTTTTGTTTCTCGAGTATTGATCAAGTTGGTACAGTCCTGCACAGAACTTGCAACAATGCATGATCGCGACTGCAGAAACTCTTCTGTTCCACCCCTCCTACGCCTACTCGCGTATCTGACATGTCATACGCACAAGGTCAGGGTCCAGTATCGCAGCGGCTGTTACGCTTGTCTGCTCTTTCACAAACAAGAGCACTGTAGTGAATCCGCTGCCCCTGGTCTTGTCAGCCGACTGCCTTCCTATTTGCTCACCCATCGCCATTGTCTGCCTGCCCAGGGCTCCTTCATTCACCGCCCTGGTTGCGCCGTCTATAAGAAGCTAGCGCGGCGCCCGGACCACCCAAAAAATCACACACCTGCGCATAAAGACTGGCAACCTCGTCGTGTCCCTCCCCCCCAAACGCTTAACCACCTCCAACTACACCCACAGCTCTCCAAGCCCTCGGTTCCCAGTGGACCGTTCATAACAGAAAAAGAAACAAAAAAATACAGAAAACAACAAGAAAAGCCCGTCCGACGACCACCGCCAACTCTTCGTCTCCCACTGTCGCTTGCACCCGACAGACGTCTTACTTGATCTCACCTTTTTCGCACGAAGAAGCAACCAGCGCGCTCGCACAGCCCGCGCTCCCGGTCCCATACGCCGACTCTGTTACCCCGCACATCTTCTGTTGCAACTTAGGTGAGTGCTGAAACTTTTTGCGAAGCGAGCGCACTGGCACATGTCGACGCTGCTCGTGCCCGCAATATTAGGACCCCTCCGCTAACCTGCGACCCCGTAGATATACATCATGTCTGACGTCGCCAACTCTACCTCGCCCGTCCAGGACGGTGCTGCCGCCAACGGCGCTCAGGTCGACACCAACGTCGCTGCCGCCCAGGGCGAAGCCCCCACCCCCACCACCGCTGCCCCCGCGAACAACCAGAACTCCGCGTCGCTCTATGTTGGCGAGCTCGACCCCTCCGTCACCGAGGCCATGCTCTTCGAGCTGTTCTCGTCGATTGGCCAGGTCGCGTCTATCCGTGTCTGCCGTGACGCCGTTACCCGTCGCTCGCTCGGTTACGCCTATGTTAACTACAACAGCTCTGAGGATGGCGAGAAGGCCCTCGAAGAGCTGAACTACACCGTCATCAAGGGCAAGCCTTGCCGCATCATGTGGTCCCAGCGTGACCCCGCTCTGCGCAAGACCGGCCAGGGCAACGTCTTCATCAAGAACCTCGACCACGCCATCGACAACAAGGCTCTCCACGACACCTTCGCCGCTTTCGGTAACATCCTCAGCTGCAAGGTCGCTCAGGACGAGCTTGGCAACTCCAAGGGCTACGGATTCGTCCACTACGAGACCGCCGAGGCTGCCAACAACGCTATCAAGCACGTCAACGGCATGTTGCTCAACGAGAAGAAGGTCTTCGTCGGCCACCACATCCCCAAGAAAGAGCGCATGAGCAAGTTCGAGGAGATGAAGGCCAACTTCACCAACATCTACGTCAAGAACATCGACCTCGATGTCTCTGACGAGGACTTCCGTGAGCTGTTCGAGAAGCACGGTGACATCACCTCTGCCTCCATCGCGCGCGATGACCAGGGCAAGAGCCGCGGGTTCGGCTTCGTCAACTACATCAAGCACGAGGCCGCCTCTGACGCCGTCGAGAAGCTCAACGACGTTGACTTCCGTGGTCAGAAGCTCTACGTCGGCCGTGCCCAGAAGAAGCACGAGCGTGAGGAGGAGCTCCGCAAGCAGTACGAGGCCGCTCGTCTTGAGAAGCAGTCCAAGTACCAGGGTGTCAACCTCTACATCAAGAACCTCAACGACGATGTCGACGACGAGAAGCTGCGTGACATGTTCACTCCTTTCGGTACCATCACCTCCGCCAAGGTCATGCGCGATGCCATGCCCGCTGAGCGCGCTGAGACCCCATCCGACGAGAAGAAGGACGAGGCCAAGGAGGAGCCCAAGGAGGTTGAGAAGACTGAGGAGTCCAAGGACGAGTCCAAGGCTGACTCTTCTGACGAGAAGAAGGACGAGAACGCCAGCGGCGAGAAGGTCACCATCAAGGGTGAGAAGAAGATCCTTGGTAAGAGCAAGGGCTTCGGTTTCGTCTGCTTCAGCAACCCCGACGAGGCCACCAAGGCCGTCACCGAGATGAACCAGAAGATGATTGAGGGCAAGCCTCTCTACGTCGCTCTTGCCCAGCGCAAGGATGTCCGCAAGAACCAGCTCGAGGCTACCATCCAGGCCCGCAACCAGCTCCGCATGCAGCAGCAACAGCAGCAGCAGTTCGGTGGCATCCCTCAGATGTTCATCGCACCTGGCCAGCAGCCTATGATGTTCCCCGCTGGTGGCCGTGGTCAGATGCCCTTCCCCGCCGGTATGCCCGGCCAGCAAGGTGGTCGTGGCGCTGGTTTCCCCGGCGGCATGCCCGGTCAGCAAGGCGGTCGTGGTGGACCCAACGGCCAGCAGATGCCTCCCATGTACATGCCCCCCGGCATGGCTCCCGGTGCTTTCCCTCCCGCCTACATGAACCAGCAGTACATGCAGCTTGCTCAGGCTGCTCAGCAGGCTATGGGCGGACGCGGCGGTCGTGGTGGCCCCATGGCTCCTATGCCCGGTATGCCCCAGGTCCCGATGGCTGGTGTTCCCGGCATGCGCGGTGGTCAGGGCGCCTTCCCTCCTCAAGGCGGTCGCGGCGGTATGCCACAGGGCGGCCGATCTGGTCAGTCCCCCATGCCCGGTTACCCTCAGGGCGGCCGTGGCGGTCCCGCCGGTGCTGGCGTCGACATGGGTGCTCTGAGCGGCGCTCCTCCTGGTCAGCAGAAGCAGATGCTCGGTGAGGCTCTCTACCCCAAGATCGCTGAGATGCAGCCCGAGCTCGCTGGCAAGATCACCGGTATGCTCCTCGAGATGGACAACAGCGAGTTGATCACCCTGTAAGTTTTCCCACTTTCCATCGCACTACCTTCCGTACTGACTATCCTAGCACCTCCGATGAGTCTGCTCTCCGCGCCAAGGTCGACGAGGCCATGAGCGTCTATGACGAATACGTCAAGAACAAAGAGGGTGAGCCTGAGAAGGAGGCCCCCAAGGAGGAGACCAAGGAAGATGCTTAAACCTCTTTCTAGTTGCCACTGAGTAGGATTCGGTTCGCCATTCTCTCGAAAGGCAACAAGTTACGATGGTCGCATGATCTTTCTGAACGGCGAACGGCGCACGGGTAACGGTTTTCATTCACGACACGGGACGGCTTTCATGACCCATGCACCCAAAAGTTTTCACGATTCGATGTCCACTTCTCAGCTACCTACTACGATACCTCTTTCCCCGGTGACTGACTCCTTCACTGGAACGTCGGACACCTACAGCACCCAAACTCGCATCTCGAGAGTTTGGTTTTCCCCTCATGTTTTTTTCTTTGTTCCCCGCTTTGTGCATGTTATCATAGACGGCGCCCCGTCTTCGAAACGTTCATGATATGGGTCTGTGTGGATGGATTTTCTTTGCGCAAACAGTATGATACCTCACGAGCAGCTTTACGATATCAAGCTGGCTCTCAATGTTCGGGTTTTCGGCGTCTCGATAATTCATGGTAGATGTGGATAGGATTACGGGTTCGAAGCATCTAGTCCGTACTGGATAGCTTTGCTGGGGAGAGATGAGCAGATAAGATCTTAGGCATGTAGTCGATACTCCTAATAGATCTTACAATATTCACGACTGGCTCTTGATGTGATGACTTCCCATTTTGTCTGCTTGGGTGTTGGTGTCGCTAAGGTCTGTAACCACGCATACAACCATACCATCAAGATCTCAAGGTCAGACACCACCATTACACGTGCGTGAAAAAAAGACAATGAAGAAATGTCGAAATTGGTATCGTCATTCAATAATACTGCGTCGATGTCGTAAACTCAAGTCTTGACCAGCAAGGTATCTGCTTATATGCCCGTGATAGCCCAATTATACGCCATCCCACGTTCCAAGCTATCCACAGACGCCTATTTCTTGTAGTTCTTGTGCGCGTCAATAACCTTCTGGACCTCGCCTTCCGAGCCGAGGAAGATACCCGATCGGTCGTGGATGTGTTCGGGGACGACTTCGAGCATACGGTCCATCTTGCTGTTTACTGCCAAACCGCCAGCTGCAAGCAAGAAAGTTAGCATGAGTGCATTGGGACAGGAAGAAAGGGGTGAACATACCATTCTCAAACACCATAGCCATAGGCGCACACTCATACAGAATCCTCAACTTGCCCTTTGGCGTCTTCTTATCCGCGGGATAAGCAAAGATACCACCATAAAGCAGCGTGCGATACGCATCCGCCACCATGGAACCAATGTACCTCGCACTGTACGGCTTCTGTCCCTCAGCGGGGTTCTTAAGGCTCTCGCACCACTGCTTAACAGGCTCTTCCCAGTACATGCTGTTACCCTCGTTGACGGAGTAAATGCTCCTCGTCTTGGGGACGCGCATATCAGGATGTGTGAGGATGAACTCGCCAAACGCGTTGTCAAGCGTGAAGCCATTGACGTTTCCGCCCTTCATTGTAAGCACCAACTGTGCGGACGCGCCGTACATGGTGAAGCCCGATGCCACCATCTCGGTGCCGGGTAGAAGCATCTCCTCTTTTGTGCCCTTGGCGCCCTCGGGCAGTTTGTAGACGGCAAAGATGGTGCCGACGGCGACTCCGGCGTCGAGGTTGGAGGATCCGTCGATGGG